AGGGTGGCGGCAGTATATGTCCACTTCACCTTTTTTTTATTCCTTCACGTTCCCAGTGAAACATAGGGCTTCAAGCTGAGCGCTTGAAGTTTCTGTAGCAGCGTTTATTTTACAGGATGGGGATGCTAGCCTCATGCCCAACCTTTCCTCTTTACCAGCTTTTATTTCTGGCTTAGTGAGGTAAAGGAGTGCGTCGGCCGGGGGTTGAACTCCGGACCATGTTCATGGTCGGCGAGCGTCCTAACCGCTATGCCACCGACGCACCTTTTGTATTACGTAACTTTTAAGATTTAATCTAATTTATTCAATGAATTGTCTACACATACACATAATACTACCTTAGTTATTGTTATCGCCACCTGCATACACCTTATTATTATCATTATTTTTTTATCACTGTAATCATCGTTATTACTGATATTCAAAACATTTAAAACATTCTTTATTTTTATTGTAATTACTATTACTATTATTATTCGATCCACAAATTCACCATTATTGGTTTAATTTTTATATATAAAGCAATGTACATTAGAGTATAGTCTGAAGGTCTTCTTGTTTCGCTTATGCCTTGTTCTATTATTATTAATGGGAATATTTGAAACCAATTACTGCCGCCATAAAAATCTCATACACTTTAGTCCTAAGTCAAAAGTGATTTTAATATTGCGGAAATCCCTATTTAGATGCTTAGGAAATAGTGTGATTACATGTTTTTTCCGAAATTGCTCAAAAATGGTTCACCACTTCGACTAAAATTAGATATATTGAACTCTCCATATCATGGTTGGTGAAACTTCCTTATCTTCTGCATAGTGTACTTGTATAACACAGCGTAAAGGATAGTTTCGAGTTTGTAGAAAGGATATGAGGTTTAAATATGAACCGTAAATTCATGATATCATTTTTCGCATCTTTCTTATTCACCAATGCACCAGTGATAAAAACAGTAGGTTTTATATGTGAAAAACTTATGAGAACGAAATATCGATGTTAGCAATCGTATATCTTCTACGAAGCAACTTCTTTTAAGATGCACAAGGATTGTTTTTTTTATTTATTTACTGATGGATATCCAAAAATGTTCTTTGATAAAAATACAAATTTATCACCATGGCACTCTATCATGTCACCAGCTCCGAAGAAGCCGTTGTTTATGAAACTGATGTTTCTTGGTGTTAGCATCAGTGAAATAATAACACAATGCCTTAGGAACACAATAAAGACAGTATTTAACGCGGCATAGGTACACTGCCTCTTTAGAAACATACCAAGAATAAATTACGCAAATTCACTTCTTATATGTATGTTTTCTAGTTTGACTGCTACTGTGGAGCTGGTTATATTGGGTGTACAGTTAGACATCATCGTGCATGGTTAGGCGAAGGCTAAACAGAGTCTAATCATAGCTCTGTTTAAGTTCCTCTTATAGATAGTGAACAAAAAGCTTATGTTAAAATGGCATTCATAGTCATCTGTCGTACTCCAACCAATCTCCATTCCGCCTTATGAGTTTGTCTTCTGCGTGTAGCTGAGGCCAACAGAATCCACCTGAAGAAGCTATGCATTTAAAAGAAATTCGCACATTCCCTTTCTTTATTTTGACTATCAATACTTGATTGCAAAAGTCTTACGATTTCCTCTTGCCTCTAAGTGATTTACAAGTTATTATTGTTTTCATTCTCTTATTATTCTACCCATTGATTGTTGCATTAGTTTTCTTATACATATTATCACTTACATATATTTTGATCTTAACAACTCGATATTATTTCAGAAAAACACTAATGTTATCAATAAAAATTGTTCTCAAATGATTGTATTATCGCAGAAAATGGTGTCTTCTTGGATAATCCCTATAAAGTTAATAGGAAGAATTTTGTAAAAGAAAAAGGCTTGAACTAAAAGAGCACTCAACTCAATCATATAACATCTAAAAAAGTATCCTTCAAAGGCCCACGTTTCCAATCAATTTCGATAAATAAATGATGTATACATTTATACACAAATTATAATTTTATTCCAGGGGTTGATTACACACAATTATACGTTACTTCTTTTGATACTGGAAATAATATTGAGCGTTGCTGGTTCAGTGGTATAACTCTCGCCGACCCCACAGGTGATCGAGGGTTCGAGTCCCGGCCAATACACTCCTAAACCTTGTTTAGCCAGTATTAAGGTCTGTAAAAAGGGTAGGTGGAGTGTAAAGCTGGCAACCCCACTTTGTAAAGAGAATATCACTGCTACTGAATCTTTAAAGCTTAAGCTTGAAGCCCTTAATTCCACTTGGAGTGCAAAGGAACAGAAAAAATTACACTTTGAAAGAAATTTCAGCCTGTGACCACACCACAATGCACGTGCATTATGTATAATGACTGTCTTTCCATGAAAAGACTGGCCAACAAACTCACATATTTGTATGATGCTGAAATTTGAATAGTGAACCGTCGAATTTATAATGCGAATTGCCTTATAAATGGAATGATTCTAATGTATATGAAACGCAAATCACCCTTATCAACAGACAGAGTAAATGAACCTCTCATTCTTTCTCCAAAAATACGCCATCCAAAAAAACCTGCATGGAATTATAAAAAAAGTTATCTGTTATAAGAAAGGCGCTCTTAGTGGAACACGCAGCTTCAAGCTTTAGGCTCTGAATTCTCACTAGCAGTTGTAAGTGTTGTTTCTTTGGGGCGGCGTCTTGAGCCTCACGCCTAACCTTTCGTTTTTTCTTGGTTTACTACTTACTAGCTAGGTGAGGTTCAAGAGTGCGTCAGCTAAGGATAGAACCCCGGACCATCCGAATGGCTGGTGAGCACCCTACCACTTAATCACTGACGTAGTAGAACAGATATTATAATGAAGTATGAAATGATTTGATAACAGTAGTTCAGACGGAAAAATACGAAATTAGGTCGTGCTGTCTAAACAGTAAAAAGTACAACGGCTATAGCACTAAAGAAGGCGAAGATGAAGTGAAATGCAATGAATCCATGTGGCAAAACGGAACAGAATTTTTAAAAACATTCCTATGACAAAGGTGAAGAAAGGGGTTTAAGAAATACATAGTTTAGATTTTTATCCATGTATAATTAGAGCTTCGACTATGCATCAGTGGAGAAAAGGTGACATTTTAGAGCGACTGAATTAGGCCTTGTAGATAACTTTGGGAAGAAAACCACGGGGAGTTCAGTGAACTGGCTCCAGAAGGTGTTCACAAATTGATGGCGTCAACACCCTATGGTCGCCTTTCATTATCCCAAACGAGCAATGCTTCTGGAGAACACGCTTACGGCCTACACGGGAGCATTACGATAGGATAAATGCATACAGAGGTGTACACAGGCAGTGTCGAATCATATTTTGGTTAGCGAATACTAATTGTAAGTTTGTGGTGTAAAAACGGCGTTTAATACCAGGAAAAAGTTTGAGTATTGTCGAATAGATCAAATAAATTATAATAATATTTTAATAGTTGACACACAACCCTATTAATATTCTATATCTGTCCTCAATATTGGGTTGCAATAAGGTAGAATTAACCAAATATCCTTTAACTTCTCAGTGTAATATTTATTCTTTATTTCAGTTATGCCAACTTCTACTTAAAAGTAACTTTGAATCTTCCATTGATAATGGTTATAAAACTGTTTTAATGAGACGAAATCAAATTCTTTTTCAACATCATTTGTCAAAGCCACTAATCAGAAGTAGATTATTTATTTCCAAATAACAAAACAGGATATTTTTTGAAGTGGTGCTATCGTCAAGCTGAACTGTCCACTTTCCCAGGATTTTATTACTGAATATATGAGTAACCTGACCCAGTATGCTGTTTCTTTTAGTGTAAGAGTAGAATTTGGGCACTCCGCTGCAATATAACTCCATGTTAAGTCAGTTTATTTGATATAAAACACACAGTGATACAATAATAATAATAATTTGCTTTATTCCAAAACAGTACCTGTGATACAGAATGGAATTCTCATCATTTTTATTACAGTATTGCATCCAGTTAATACATTATCAATAAATAGAATTCTACATAGATTAAGGAAAATCTCAGTTCATTATGACAAGAACATACTGGCATGTCGGTAGCAAAGCCAAAGTTGAATAGTGTTTGAAAGTGTTAGAAAAGTAGGTGCTGTCATGTTTACTGGCGTAAGCGGAAGAAAGAAACAAAGCAGCACATAATGGAAAAGAAAGAGAGAGAAAAGGAAAGGAAAGAAAGAAAATATTGTACCTATAAATGATATGAGTTGGAAAGACGAGGTTCAGTTGTTCTACTGACTATTTACTGAATTATAGGTGTCTCGCCTAATGCCTTCTTTATCGCACAGAACACGGGCTAAGTAGGGTCAAATGACTTTTTGAGCACAGTGTATTACTCATAATCATCATAACAGTGTATTGATACGACTTGATAACGTTTTCGTTTCCCCTATTTCTCACGATTAAATTAGTTTGTGGGTAAAATTTGAGCATTATCGTTTGCGTTATGCTACAATTAGTTTCTTCCTTGGTTAACAGACCACACACAGACAGAGGCTCCATTTGACTGTGAACAAAACATTTCTGTTCAAGATGCGATCCAATAACCATAATATTGCCTTACTGTGTAATATATCAAACAGATAAACTGATATGAAATCCCTACACGACTGACTTTACCATGCATCACACACAAAGTGTTACAAATGAAATTTAGTGATTAGTGCCTAGCAGTGTAATTCATCCAGGTTGAGCATTTCGTCCTGTTTTGGACTCATCATCTGGATGTACTCAAATTCCATAGTGTATGATATATTCCTCTCACTGACACTCAGACCTAGTATTCATCGTTTCAAAATCCAAAAAGCGTTATCCACTATATACCACTTGGGCGTCTGTACCAGGAGCCGACATGAAAACAGAGGCTGAACATTCTGGTTCAATCAACCACAGAAAAAAAATCAAAATTGACTTAAAAACAAGCAATGAAAGAGACTTACTTGTTGCTGACTCATTATCTGTCTAATAATATATACTTGAATAGAATTTTTAAATTTTGTTGTAGGTTTATACTGTTTCTTTGGTAGTTATTATCATGAACTATGTATCCATATATACTTTACTCCTCAAGTACTATTAATCCGTTAGAATATTTCCTGAATCAGTTTAGTAATATATACACTTCTATCGCTCTATAACGATAACAATAACAGATTACCACTGGAACTTAAAAGTTACTTTTACAAAAGCTGTTGTTTTCTTTTTCTTTTTTTTGTATTTTCACGTTTCATTGGTTAAATATTGATTTTACTTAGAACCAATAAAATTTCAATGGATAGATTTGCGTGTATTGTGCTATTTTCCAATGATTACCACCATCGCGTTCTTCGTGTGGTTGATGTTTCTTTTCCCCTACATGAATAAGGAGATATATATGTATGCATACAATTCAGTTTAATTTTCCGTTCCATAACTATCTTATAAATAAAAAGAATAAGAACGCGAAGAGGTAAGAAGCCCGAAGGATAGGAGCTAAACGCGAATGCATAGCACCATAATTTATTACTGCCTCCATATTATTATTGTTACTTCCCTCATAAAAAATCAATAAGCAAGATGGTATGGCAAGAAATGATACATTGAATATACATCTATTTTAGACTTACGTAATAAAGTAAACGTTTAAATGTAACAATTGCACGCGAAAATATCCTACTGGTTACAAAATTCGCCAAGAAAAGCATAATTCTAGCTAAATAAAGCAAATAAGTTAGGCAAAGTTTACCACATTCTGCAAAATGGAATTTTTTTATGTGTTAATAAGGTTTCAGTGGGTTAATGGTCTAGGCCTCGAAACTGGAAAGTCCTTGGTTCGAAACCCAGCGGGAGCGTACTGACGAAGAGTCGCGAACCAGGGCAAAACGACTGTCCTGTGCTCCTAGAAGGCATCGGTGGTTCAGTGGTAGAGCACTGGCCAACCAAGCAAGTGTTCCAGAGTTCGACTCAAGGCCGACAAACCCCTGAACCTCACTTAACTGGTTATAAGCCTGATAAAGAGGGAAGGTTGGGCGTGAGACTAACAACCTCATCCCATAAAAAGAGTCACTGCTACTGGAACTTCAATGCTCTAGCTTTAAGACCTATTTACCACTGAGAACGCTGAGGAATAGAAAATAATAAATGTGTTAACAAACTGGTATGAAAGTGATGTATAAATTGATGGGTATCCTGGTAGCCAGATTCTGTAAGTTGGTATTCTTTGAGGACGTCTTGGCATCACCATAGTTATCATCTTCAGTGAGATTTGGCATAAAAACTTCTTTATCCACGAAATCATCTTCATTAGGTGAATAATCGGTAGCGCCACTAGCGTTTCGTCAATATAACCACGAACTCTGTATGAGGGAAAGATTTGTTCAGTATCTCATTCTACCATGGTCTTAATCTCTTCCTTGGTCTTTCGCTTATGTTTTTAGAAATGTGTTAACTATTCACACTCTTATGACCGTTGCGTAATTTTTTGCTTTGGAAATCACTTCAGAGTAAACATATCAGTTTTGTCACCTCCCATCCCTATTACTCAGTAATAGACTACTAAACATTTTATGATAAACCCTAATACGATTCTACTGCCTCTGAAATGGATTTCAGTGATATGGGAAATTTACTTCGCTGAATTTTCATTTAGTTTCCTTATGACTCAGTGGTTTTATTATTAGCAGTTTCATTTGCATCAAATTACATACTACTGATTGATTGAGATGAGTAGTTGTATACTGCTCACAAAAACCAGTAGTGCCTGTTAGCCAGATCGAGGTGATCTAAACACCTGACAGCCGTTTCGCTCTTTTAAGGAGAGCTCATCAGCAGTGTATCTGGTTTGGTTTAGCTCAGAGAACAGAATTAGTCAAATTGGATACACCGCTGATGTTGACGGTCATAAACGAGGGAAACGGACGTCCGCTGTTTAGATCAGTTCGATCTGGCTAGCAAGTCTCACTGGTTGTTAACAGCGGTACACAACTACTCATCTAGTCAATCAGTAGTATATGGTTTTATGCAGTTATCATTGCTTTCTTGATTGCCATTTATAGTATCAAGCAGATCACAAACTGTGATCTGAATAATTTGATCTCCAAAGGAAACTTTCGTGAGATTTCACCTCCTGGAACTGTGTAAATTAAAAATTGTGAATTCATTTTCAAATTATAAATTTGATTTATGGTAGACTTATTCTTATAGAATGTCAGTTAGTAAAACACTTTCAGTGGAATATATCCGGTGATTAGATCGTACAGAGTAAGATTCAGCGTTCTTTCAGTTGCACTAATGAAAAATTGTCACTAGTTCGTCTAGCAATCGTATACATTTTAAAAGTTCAACTTCCATCTGTCTATTGCATATATCTTCTTTCGTTCGGTTTGTTTTAATCGATTAAGATATAACCTCCATTGGTATGATCTGCTATTGTGTGTATTTAAAATGTTTACAAGCTTCTGATTCGTAAGTTCCTACTGAACTAGAGGAATGGTATGATTGTGGGTGGCATCGTGTTTCAATACATGAGATAGCTGTTCTTCAGTCATGTTCTTGGGTCCCAAACTGTACTTCTGAAAGTCTTACAATTGACTTTCAACCAGATATCGTGGATTACTTGAAGGAGACAAAGCAGATATATCATAATGGAATGGTTTGTGTTTCAGTTCAGAGACCATTGTATCACAAGATATACTTTCAATCAATATTTTACTTGTAGATATTGTACGAAAGGAAAATATCAAGCAATAAACTCCTCTGAAAATTCTGTGCATTTTATAAGTACTGTCCAGAATAAAGATGTTACTATTATTATAACCTTCACCGGATACCAAAGAGAATGTTGTACGCAGCAGCGAAATTCTTACAATTCGTTGTATTCGTTATATTAAGCACCTATTTGACCAACTCAATCCGAACTTTCGGATGACAAATGCGTCCTGCTGACCCACCTTCAAATTGTCAATGATTGACTTGTTTGAAGAGAATGAAAAGCGCAGTAAAACAATGAACTACATATTCATAATCTACCACTGTCATTTTTGTGCTGATGAAATCATCTTAGAAACACTATCCCTAATAAAAAGACAATATGGTTATAAAAGAAATTAAGTACGTAGGTTGTATATACTTTTTCAAATCCCACTCACGTATTTATAAATCTGACAAGCAAAATGCAACTCACAGGGGAATTTTAAGCATCTTTGGAAATTCGATAAAATTTCCAATAATACACATAGTTTAGTTTCATAGAGGAAAGCTATCTCCACTCTACTACGACTTGATTACTGTTTTCTTAAATCAAAAAATGAAACAACTGCATACGATCATGGACATGGTTTTCCAGTGATGACAAATAATCAGTTGAGTTCCGTCCAGGTGGCCGAATAGTCAACAAGCTATCCTCATAGCCTGAATTCTCTGAATCCGCCCTTTGTCTGGGTCACGAGTGAGTACTGGTGAAGAGTCTCACACTACGACGAAACAGCTGTTCAGTATTCCCTGGTTTTTAGTGGTCCTCTAGCTGAAGTTACTTGGTGAGCAGTCTTGAAATCAATCGAACCTCTGCAAAACAATACTTGGCAAGAACAAATGTTTGACTGTTTCCGTCATGATAGTTAGATTCGAGGCAGAAAAATTTGGCATAACAATAAGGAGTATGCAGCGTAATAAAAGAAATCCTCTGTGTGTTATAAAGAGAATAACTGTTCGAAGTCATGAGTTCTGTTACATTTGTAAATCATTAGTGAAGTGATATTTGGAGAGAATCACAAGTTTCTTCAAAGAATAGAGATTAGAAATTAAACCTTTATAGAACAACATTTCACCTTGGCTTACTACTACAAACTTCAAACCAATTACTTTTACATTTTCAAAAGGAACAATTTTCTATTCTTATATAATGATAATAAAAAAATTAATAATTAGAATAGCAACGAAAGAGGAATTAAGTGTGCCCCGTGCAAGACTTCTGAATTATACTAGGTTACTTGCTCGATGTGCACGTCGATGGTACAATGGTGAGAAACCCTGCAATCACGCTCGTAGTATGTGGTCCACCTCCCCCATGAACCACTCATAAATATCGTCTAGTTTACCATTATTATTATCTCCTTGCGAACCAACCAGGAACCAATTGTGAAACAAATAGGCAGGAAGAAATGGAGATGGATTGGCCATACTCTGAGGAAACAGTCCATCAAGTGACGTCACTAGACAAACCCTCGAGTGGAACCCGAAATGGAAGCGGTGAGTTGGTTGTCAGTGCAAGGGTGACTTGGAGGAGGTCATGTGAAGAGGAGATGAAAACGTGTGGACAGACATGGAGCCAGTTGAAGACTCTAGCAGAGAACCGAACGCAATGGAGACGCACGGCTGAAGCCCTATGTTCCTCTAGGAATTAAAGGAAACAATAATAATATAACAATTATCTCCTTGGGTTCTGAGTGAAACATACGGTCTTAAGAAGACATCTCCACTTCATCCTGTTCTCTGAATTCTTCTTTAGCTGGTTCCACGATAACCCATAGACTCTTGCCTCTTGTTTACATGATTTCCTCCATTTCACCCTCGCCACCACTACCAACTCGTCATTTCTCATTCTGATTTTATCTGAGTAGTGGCCTGATACTTGATGTGACCCAACGGCCTCCTCAGTGTGTGTCTGACACATCTCCACTCTCGCCAGCATATTTGTTGAGCAGTAGGTTCTTGATTATTCCGTTCCCAGATTTGCTTGTTTCTAATTCTTTTTACCCTACCATGTAATCTTCAGTATGAAGCCATCAAAGGCAGCCGTTGATAAAATCCTGAAGTAAACCTCTGGAAATGCTTTTCATGACACCCGAGCCAAGTTTTTGACTCATATAGAAGAAATGACATAACACTGGCTTTGAGAATCCGGATTTTGCTCTTTATGCTGAATGCGGAAGTTTTCCAGAATGATTTCAGATTGATGAAGGTCTGTCTTGCCTTTTCG